CCACGGGCTGCTTAAGGAAGGTGGGTAGGGGGATGTGAGGCTCTCCCGCAGGGTTCTGCTTGGTTGGGTCGGGGTGGGGGCACCCACTGGGCCCCATGGGAGGTGTGGGGTGGGCTGGGCAGAGCTGGTGGGCGGTTTCATCAATGAGATGACAAGGGTCCACGGTCAGAGAGCTGGACTGAGGTGGGCTGGGGCATGCTGCCCTGAGAGTGCTGCTTGACGGTGCTGATGGCAATGGGGACAGGTCAGTGTGGAGCAAGGAGGGATTCAAGGTGCAGGACCTGCCAAGAGCAAAGCCACGGCAGCTCGAAGGGCCTCAGAGACGGAGGCTCCGGGCTGGCAGTCCTCACCCATGTGGACTGACCCTCTCAGCTGTCCATGTCCACAGCAGATGCTGGCAGCCAGACACGCCTCAGAATCCTTGAAGCAAAAGCCCCATGTGGCCACTGCCCGTCCACTCATTCTGAGATGATTTCAGAGGTCAGGTGGCCCCTGAAGAGCCAGAGAGGTCGAGAGCATCCTGAGGCCGCCTGGCCCCTGTGCAGCTGAGTGGAGGCTGGAGGCCTTTAGGTCCAAGTTCAAGGCTTTCACACTCCTCTCCTGCACTGCCCAAGACGGCGGGAAGGGGGTGCAGTGGGTCGAACAGAACCCCCCAAATTCACGTCCACTCAGAACCTGGGAATGCACCCTCATTCCTTGCAGATGTAGTGAAAGGCCAGGTTATACAGATCAGGGTGGACCCTAAGTCCACAGTGCTGCAGACGAGGCTGGGGAAGGCCAGGTGAGGACAGAGGCAGAGACTAGGGTGACGCAGCCCTCGGGGGCTGGAAGGGCAGGGAGGTGCCTCCCCTAGAGCCCTGGGAGGAGCAGCGTCCCCGACACCTCGGCTCAGCCTTCCCAGAACTCCGGGGTACATTTCTACGGTCTGATCCGACCCAGGCTGGGGTCATTTGTCACAGCAGCCACCAGGCACTGAGACACAGGACTCTCTGCCCACACCAGGGCTGCTGGACCAAGATTCCCGGGCCTCAGTCCCCGCACCTTGCACACAGACAAGCTTGCCCGGCCAGGCCTGGACTGTGTGGGGACACGCTCTCTCAGGATGCGTGAAGTTGTCATAAATTACTGCTAATCACTGACCAGCTGCTAGGTCAACCTCATAAATTTCAAAAAGAAAAACTTTCCAGGCCTCCCCAGCAGAAACCCTCCAGACCCCGATGGCGGATGATTTAAGGCCCACCATTTGCTTTCCTCCACAGCGGACAGCTTCTCAGTCCTACCCCCCTTCCTTGCCCTGTGTGACTGAGACAGCTCCAGGAGTCACCTTGATGTGACCCCAACTCCCAGCAAGTCCTGTGTAGGATGCTCCCCACCACAGCTCCAGGGACTTCTCGGTTCTGAGTCCAGGTTCCAATCTGGCCTGAGCCCCTCTCCACCTGCAGTGGACCCCGGCCAGTCCTGAGGCCGGGAGAAGTGCACTCTCAGGGTAGAAATGACATTTCCACTCGGGAGCCTCTGAGTTTGCATTTGAAACATTTATTTCAGGAAATACATTTCAACATTTTTGTTATTTATACAAAAAGAGACGAATTTCTCAGGAGGCACAGAGCTAAAGGCCATTACGGAACACAGCCCAGCAAAACTGTTCAAAATCTGGTTACAGAGAAAGGAAGCAAAGCCTTCCGGAGCCGGGATGCTGCTAACCCCAGGCGACATGGGGGCTGGGGAGGGCAGGGCCATGCGTCCTGGACCCTGGGCTGCACACTTTCAAAGTCTTGGTTTTGGCAAAAACTTGGCAAGTCGGTAGTTGACATGTAAACTGTGGGGCAGAGGGGTTTGTCTTCTCCTGGAATGGGAGGCAGGAAGGTCAGCTGTGCGTGGTCCCTACCAGTCCCCTCTTGGGGACCAGGCTGTGTCACGGTTAAGCCTTTCTCTGCAGCCTAGGTGTATTCTGTGTATCTCTGACCCCTTGTCTCTCCCTCTCTGGGGACTTCAAATCGGACTCTAGGGTACAGAGGCCCAGGAACATGGAGGACAACCAACAGCCAGGCTCTGTGGCCTCCCGTGTACCCAGGTCTCTGGGGCAGTGAGGGCTGAGCAGGAGCAAAGCTGGTGAAGGTGGAGGAGGGGCATGAGTGTAGCCGGAGCATCTGGGCCAAGCCAGACTCCACAGGTGCCAACGCACCTCCTGCGCCTGCAGGGTGGCCCCCACTGCTTCGCCCCTCACCCCTCCACCAGAGTGCGGGACATGCCCAAAATTCAGGGTGGAGGTACCTCCGTCCTTTAATCCTCACCAGATGGCACTGCAGCACCCACAGGCAAAGGGAGGGAGGAGAGGGGACACCACAGGCCTCCTGCCTGCAGCCTGTCTGGCCTGAGGGGACACACAGGGACGCTGAGATAAGGCACTTTCTGCTCCGGGCTCATGGGCGGGCAGGGGCAGCCGGGGACTTGCCACCTCTAAGCAGTGGGGCAGGCGGGGTGCTGAGTCATGTCCCATGACATGTAGGGGGCAGGAGGGGCTCCAGGTCCACCTGCTGGCTCTGTCCTCCCCTGGGTACAGCCTCCGACAGGGGCCAGGGGACGTGGCCACTGGGACAGAGTATGGCCCAGTGGTCATCCCTGCACCCTGGACCTGGCCCAAGCACAGACCCCCCAGCTCTGCAGGCTCCGTGCAGGGGGCAGACAGTGGCTCTCCTGGCCCCCGGGAGCTGGACCTGGGCAGGGGGTTGGATCCAGGGGGCCCTCCCTTCTGCCCACTGCCCAGCCCTCCCAGCCCTCAGGAAGGCCAGAGGCTGGCCCAGGACCAGGACCAGACCGAGGTCCAGCCATGTGCCCGGAGATCTCGGGCTGGTGAAGAGCACACGGGGGACGCGCCTTCTCTGGTGACCAGGCAGTGTGTAAAAGGGGCGGAGACGGGTGACAAACGGAGAGAATGATATGAAATAAGACGGGTGAATGGGCGGGCCTGGGGCGTGGGGGACTCGGATGGGTCCCGGGGGCGTCTACATCTCCTCAGCGTCTGGCTCCTTTTCAAGGCCATTGGCCAGGGTGCTGCTGCCCTCGCTGAGGCGCTTCACGCGGTAGGCTTCGAAGTGGATGCTGCTGGTGATGTCCTTGATGTTCTGCATGTGCGTCCTGCGGGGAGCGGGGTCAGCGGCCGCCTGCCCCTGCCCGCCCCACCCCGATGGCTGGGTGCTCCACGGGTCCCCTGGGCTCACCAGGCCTGGTGCTAGGCAGGGCCTGCCACCTAGTGCCCTGAGCATGCTTCCCTCCCCGGGCTGCTACCACCCACCAGGCACCCGGGCTCTCACCTGATGAGCAGGTCCCGCAGGTAGGCAAACTCACAGTGCGTGGTGTTCTCGACTGGGGAGAGACGGGGCTTCAGCGTCACGCAGGACACCCCCCCACACCCAGTAATGCTGCCAGGAGCAGCTTCTGCGGACAGTCTGCTGGAGCTGCGCAGGGGCGGGAGGGGGAGTCCGGGGCACCTGCAGGCACCCGGCACTGATCCCAGCACCTGGGATGCTGGGCGGCAGGAAGAACTCAGCCCATGCTCCCCAGAAGGTTCCAGCCTATTGGGGAGATGGCCCTGCCACCAGGTCAAGAGCCATAGGAAGGCCCCTGCTCCCTGGGTGGCCAGGGAGATGGCTGGGAAGAGCTGGCTGTCCCAGCACCAGCCCGAAGGCAGGTGGGGGCTAGAGTGCAGGGAGCGGGAAGAGGTGGGAGTTGGAGGGGCTTTTCAAGGAAACCCGAGCCCCAGCTACAGAGGCACAGAGTGGGCACCGAGTGCCCGCACACAGAGACTGTGACAGTGGCTACCCTCGGTACAAACTCAGGGACGGCACAATGAAATGAGACACTGCCTGGGACTCCTGCACAGGGGACATGACCAAGGGGACCCCAGGGGAGGGGTGAGCACAGCTGGGGCTCACTTCTGGGGCCACCAGGGGGCGACACGCACGTCTGTGGGCTCCCCTGAGCACGCCGGTGCAGGTGGAGCGCTGTGGGCGGCAGCGAGGTGCCACTCATGGCTGTGGCTAACTCACACACTGCCAGGTGTGTGTGACCGTCACCAGGGGTGGGGGCTGCGTGGCATTGGTGGAAGGACTAGGGAAGCTACTCTCCCTGGGTGGCCAATGCAGTCTCCTCAGGCCCTGCAGGCCCAGCTAGGGTCCTCTTCTGTAGCCACTAAGGCAGGCCCGGGAAGGCGGGACTCGAGTCTGCCTGGACGAGGTCACAGAGGGATTTGGAACCCAGGCCCCAGCTCCACAGTCCCGTCTGCCCTGTCACAGAGCAGTAGGACTTCCCCAGTTGGCGGTCTGGGTTTTGCCTGAGGAGCCAGCCGGCGGGGCCCAGGCTGTGAAGAGCCGTCCCCTGGACCCCATCCCTGCAGGGCTGGGCCCCACGGGAGGCTCTGCGGCAGGCCCCAGGCATGCAGCATGGTTTCCCGAGTCTGAGAGCTAGCAGGAACCAGAGCTCAAGTCTGATCTGTGTGATCGGCTTCCTGGCTTGGGCAAGTTATTCTGCTCTCCCTGACCCTGTTTCCTCATCTGTAAAGTGGGATAACAGTGTCACACACTTCTCAGAGACGCGAGGACCAAATGAGCTCAGGGTGTGATCTGCAACACCCACTTCCTCTTCCAGGAAAAACCACCTCGTGACCACACCTGCAGGGGTGCACCAAGCAGCAGGTTCTCTGGTCAACTCACGAGGTCTCTGGTCTGGACCCATCATGTTCTGGGGAAGTCTCTAGGGTCTTCATAAAAGCCGGGTGGCTTGAGTATCGCTACCCTGTAAGCATCTTTACAGGTGCCAAAGGGCTGCCGCTTAGAGGGTCCCTCAGCTGAGTCCTGACATACGGCTGCCTGAAGTGCCTGGCGCTGGCCACCAGGGGGCAGCAGCAGAATGCCGATGTCCAGTCCCCCCTCCCTGGGTCCCTGAAGGCTCCTTTTGATCCCAAGCGTCTCTGTTCTCTAAAACATGATTTTCGTAAAGGGGTTCCTGGAGCAAGGTTTGGGGGGTGCGCAGGGAGGAAGGGAGGAAGTGGAGGAGGGGCCTAGGGGAGGTGTCCAGGGAAAAGCCTGACAGAGCCTCCTAGTTCTGATGGCCCCCCCCCAAATACTTGACCACTCCCCTGGAGTGGGGGAGAAAACCAGGTCCAGCACGTGGTGCAGACCCTAGAGATGTCCAGACTGGCTGGTTTAGAAAAGCACCAGAAGGCTGGCACTCAGGTGGGGGGCGCGTGGGCATGGGTGAGCAGGACAGGGCAAGCAGACAGGGTTCTCGGGGTGCTGACCCTGAGACAGGCCTGGTGCTCCTCCATGTGCTCCTGCAGACGAGAACCCCTGGCCAGAGGAGTTGCCCTCGGGGCTGGGACCCTCGCTGCAGCACCTTCCTGAAAGGAGGGTGGGTGCAGGGACCTCGTGACAAGGGCTCCAAGGATTAAACAAGGACCGTCACCCTGAAGGACCAGTGCCTGCTACCTGCCATTATAACCTGTTTCTTTCTTTTTTCTTTTTGGTACCAAGGACTGAACACAGGGGCACTTGACCACCGAACCGCATCCCAGCCCTTTTTATATTTTATCTAGAGACGGGGTCTCACTGAGTTGCTTGGGGCCTCGCTGCGTTGCTGAGGCTGGCTCTGAACTCTCCGACCTCCTGTCTCGACCTCCGGAGCTGCTGGGATGACAGGCATGTGCCACTGTGACTGGCTATAACCTGTTTCTTAAACCCACGGCTCCCCGCGAAGCTCTAGTGGGCTGTGGGACGTTTGATTTGCTGAATTCTTGGCACACGGTACCCACTTTATAGATGGTGAAAACCGAGGCTCTGGAGGATGGAGGACTTGCCCGAACTCACAGCAAGGAGACTTTCTGCCCCTTCTCTCCTGGCCTTTGGGCAGAGCCAGGCCTCCCTCCTCCATGCTAAGGAGTATGGAAGGAACAGAGAAGAGGAAAGAAGTGTCCAGGCCCACCCCCGAGGAGCTGCCGCCGGGGCTGAACGTGCCCCAGACAGGGCCAACGTGTGTGTGGACCTTGTCCAGAAGACGTCTTTGAAGAGGTAATAAAGGGTTTCAAAAGGTACCAGCCTGCACTCAGGGTGGGCCAAGGACAGTGACAGGTGTCTTCAGTGGCCTTGGGCCATGTGTCCTGGGTGCAGAGACTCATTCTCCCCCTCCCCCACGGCCCCAGGAGGGGGAGTACCTTCGATGGTGCCCCACTTGGTCTTCCTCCCGAGGATCCGCTTGCCGTTGACTTGGTACTCCTGGTCACTGCCCACAACGGCAAACGGGATCATCTCCTGCGGGAGGGGCGGGTGGGTTGGTCCCCTGCTCAGAGAGGCCAGCTCAGACCTGAGGCCTGGGAGGAGCTGCCCTGAGCCTGGGCCCCCCCCCCACCCCGCCCAGCCCCAAAGGCAGTTCCCCAGGGCTCAGGCCATCCCCCCATTTCCCCAGACCCCTTCGATGGGCAGACCCTCCCCACCCCCGCATGCCCACCGGCAAGCCCTGGGACCTGGGAGCAGCGCCGTGGCTGAGGCACTCACCCGGAACTTCTCGTTCACCAGCCTGTCCTCCGAGTCCTCGTCAAACTCCTTCTGGGGGTACACGTCAATGCCGTTGGACAGCAGGTCTGCGGTGATCTGGGGGACCAAGGGGCAAGCTGGAGCCACCCTGCAGCAAGCTGAGCCCACCAGCTGGTATGGTGACCTCAATGCTGCCAGCTGCCCCTGGCTCAGGGTGAAGGGCAGGCTCTGGGGGCGGGACCCTGATAATCTCCTCTTCTGGGGCCTCCTGAGTAGAGATGGTCTAGCGGACCTGCCTGCCCTGAGATGCTGTGGACCTCCAAGGGCCCTGGGGTCACTCATTGTCCTGTGTCTCCCCTGCCCAGCTCAGAATTCAGGGTTGCTGAGCCCCTCTTGCCGAAACCCTGGTCATAGCCACCTCCGGTGCATCTGCTGTGTTAAACTGTCTGTCCCCAGACCGCAGCGCCAGCCACGCGATGGGCAATGGAGAATGTCCCAGGGAGCAGCTGTCACATCTACCCTGAGCTCCACGTGCACCTGGCCGCGGGTCCCTTTCCCTCCAGGAGCTGCGTCTCTGCATGGTGAACTGTCCTTCCCTAGGCATGCTGGGAAAACCCCCACCTGGCCCCCGATGGAGGCCCTTGGAGCCGGGGATGAGACTGGAGGGCCTCCCCAGGCCACCAGGCTGGTGCGCGGGCACCTCAACATGAAGAGTTCCCTGGCTGTGTGCCTCCTGGGCTGGGGTGGCCTCTTCCAGGCCCACAGCCTGCCTCAAACACCAGTCCCCAAGGAGCAGGGGGCCAGGTGGAGGCGGAGCGTCCTACCCGCTGTTTGAAGTAGACCCTCTCCTCCAGGGTCAGTGTGTCAGCCTTGGCAATGACAGGGACGATGTTGACCACCTTGCTTAGGCGCTTCATGAACTCGATGTCCAGGGGCCTGAGGCTGAGACAGAAGGAATCGGGTGAGACTCAGCTGCCCTGCAGCAGGGGACTGAGGGAGGCCCCGCCGCCAGGACTGGGCATGAGTTGCCCGGACTGCCAGCTGGGGCTGTCCGGTGGGTCCGCACTGATGAGGACCAAGTGGTGGGTGCAGGGCACGGAGGGGCAGGGCAGGTCCCCGACAGCACCACTGAGCTGGAGCAGAAGGGTGAGGCCAGCTCCCAGCAGCCTCGCCCACGAGGTTCCCAGAGCCCAGCTGCCCTGGACAAGTCCACGTGGAGGAGCTGCCCCTGCCCAGATGGCCAGGGGTTTGCCTGGCGGGGACAAGGGGGAGGATGGGAGCCAGCGTCCAGCAGCTCTGAGCCCTGGGGCTGGCTGCTCTGCAGGGCACCTGGCCTGGTGAGCCTGGGGTCTCAGGTGGGGAAAGGCATGGAGGTGGGGGCTGGCAAGCCTGAGGAGTGGGCGTCACTTCCCACTGGAGCAGACCCCCCACAGTAATAAGTCACAGTCAGGCCAAAGCGGGGATCCGGGCAGAGTCAGAGCAAAGATGGCCAAGGTCACCCCTGCCCCCGGGATGGGTGCTGGTGAGGGGACGGGGACCAAGCCCAGTGCTCAGCTGGGGTCCCAGTCCAGAGGGTCTTCTCCAGAGAAGCACCCTTAGCTCTCCCTTCTGGGTCTCAGCCAGAGCCTGAAACAGCTGGATCAGCTGCTCAACTCCCCAGCAATGGGACACAGACCCCTCGCATCACAGCGGCCAATCACGGTCCCCGACGCGGCCCCTCTGTGCCCGGCAGCAGGGTGGACAGACCGTGAGACATCCCTGGGGCCACGGGACCTGGGGCACCCACACCAGCACATGGGGCGTGACCAGGACGTACGAGTGGCCTGTGGCAGGGATGAAGTAGAGGCAGCAGTGGACGCGCGTGTCCGGGATGCGCTTCTTCCGGTTGATGTTGACCTCCTCCTGCAAGTACTTCTCGTACTGTTCGTTGATGAACTTCATGATCGGCTGCCAGCTGCGTGGAGACCCGGGTCAGCACGCAGGACCCTCTCCAGGCCCCAACAGGCAGTCAAGGACCCCCACCTTCCTATCACACCCGGGGACGTGTGGCACCCTGATCTTACAACTCCCTGCCCAGCGTCCCCCTGCTGACCTTTCACCTGGTGGGGGGGTCAAGATTCCCATGGTGACTCTTTGATCCATAATTTTCAGACCCCAGGACGGGTGTTATAGGCACATCAGCCCTCAACATGGCCACAGAGTCCTCAGGGTTCTGACCCTGGGGCCCACTCCCAGAATGGCTCCCCAGCTCTCTGACCCCAGGCCTCACTGCTCCCCGGGAGGCTCACCAGTTCTCGTTATTGATGTGGTCCCCAAAGCCCGGCGTGTCAATTACCGTCAGCTTCATCCGGACGCCCTTCTCCTCAATATCTGCAGGAACACAGCACCCCAGGCTCAGAGGGGAGACCAGGACCCTCGGGTTGCCTGGTCAACCCCGGGGTCCCCCGGTGGGCAGTGGTGGCAGACAAGGTGGCACCGGGGAGATCGACCTCAGACAAGGAAGCTGGTGGTGATCTGGGTGACCCCCGACTCAGCTTCTGGGTAACTCAGCCTGCCAGGGTCCACACCACTCATCCCTGAGTCTCAACACTCCCAGGGCTGTCACAGCAAGTCCTTGCTGAAGGGGCCCCCGCTGCCTGGGCCCAGGCTGTGGTGCTGACCGTGTGTGATGGATTTGATCTCGATGGTCTTGGGGATGCGCTCCTCGGAGGGGGGCTGCACCGACTTCCGGCTGATCTTGGATTTGAAGAGGGTGTTGATTAAGGTGGATTTCCCCAAGCCGCTCTGCCCTGGGAGGAGAACCAGAGGTAGGTTGGCAGGCTCTCTGGGGAGACAGTTCCCAGCACGGGACACAGGGACGCCAGGCTCACAGCACCCTGCAGCGTCCCTGCCAAGTGGGCGGGGCTTCCTCCTCCCCATAGTGCCCAGTGATACATGAACCCCCACAGCCGGGCTCCAGGGCCTAGTCACACTCAGCCAGAGTCCCCGCCTGAGAGGTGGCCACCCAGGCCCCGAGAGGGTTCAGGGAGGCCTCACCAAATACAGAATGCCAAGGCCCCAGAGGTAGGTATGGGCCGGTGCACACCGACCTGGGCAGGTGGCTCCCCAGGACAGAGGGGAAGCCCACCAGACTTGTGCTTGGTTAGGCCTGAGCTGGGGTGCACTTCCCAGACCCCTCCTGCTGCCCCATGAAGCAGCAGGGCCCCGTGCTGAGATGGGCTTGTTTCCACCTGAGAAGCTGGGCAACCCCCACCGGGCTCCTGGGAGACCCCACGGAGCCCCAAGCCCTCAGGAACAAGGGGCCGCCCATCACACCCAGCCTGCACCCTGCTGGGGTCCCCCTGATCAGTGACCTCCCCCTGCTGACACCGGTTTTTATAGCCCCCACACCCCACTCCCCAGGCAGGCTGTCAGACAGGCCACTGGGAAGCCTCCAGCCAGGGGACAGGCAGCAGAAGGCACGCGGACGTCACGGCCCCAGAGCCACCGCTCACCCCTCCTTACCAGGGCTCTTAATGGAGGGAACTGGTGGGAGCTGGGGCCTCCTCCCAGGCACCCGTGCGCACACAAGGCCACTGGCCAGAGCTGCCATCACTTTACAGAGGGACGCGTGGGGCCCAGGCTGGTGTGCCTGGCCCACGTGCGGGCTGGCGGGTTCCCGCGTGGGTCTGGGGCGACGGGAGGCGCGGGACTCACCCACCACCATGATGTTGAACTCGAAGCCCTGCTTCATGGCCTTCCTCCGCATCTGCTCCAGGATGGAGTCGATGCCCACGTAGCCGAACTCCACGGGGGCCTTCTCGTTCCGCGTGGCCGCGGCCTGCTTGAGGGCGGCGTCCCTGGAGGAGTCGGCCATGTTGCCAGCGCTGCCGGGAGCTGCCTCGGGGACTGCAGGAGAGCAGAGGTGTCGGTGCTGGGGTGTCCCCAGGCCTCCCACCCCCAGGCCTGTTCTCAGACGAAAACCGAGGCTCAGAGAGGCCAGCCCTTGTCCCAGTGTCACCCACAGGCCACAGCCAGCTCTTGGCATTCAGCCCCCCCACCCCGTGCCCACTGTGCCAAATGGGGACTCCCCTGGTGCCAGGCGCCAGGCAGCAAGCACTTCGTCCCCTCTCCTTGGCCTCAGGCTTCGGGACCCCTGGGGGTCCTCTGGGCAACAGAGGGCCAGCATTGCTCCGTCCTGGCCTGGCCTCGTGAAGGTGTGTCCACTCTGTGTACCCACCAGCAGCCCAGGGTTGGGGTGGGATGTGGCGGCAGAGTGCCCAGGGCTGCCTGTGCCTGCCCCCACCTGGCCCAGGTGACCACCCAGGTAGTACCTGGCCCCAGGTGCTCCTCACCCACAGTCAAGGCCCAGGGTGGGCTTCAGGTCAGACAGGCTGTCTGTTTAGGAGTCCACTCTGTGGGTCAGAGGCTGGGGTCGGGGAGGATGCCTGAAGGTGGTCACTGGACACCTCAGGAGCTCACAGCCAGCAGGGGTGCGCAGGGCTGTCCACTCCAGACACACCCCATCATAGGTGGGCAGGCGCGGGGGGTGCCCACCAGGTGAGACACCCCTCTACCCGCTGTGTAGAACTGCCCTGGCACCCAGCTCCGGCTGCCCTAGGTCCCCTTCCCTGACCGAGCTGGTTCAGGGACTTCCCACCCCCTCAGGGCACTGAGGAGGACAATCTGCCCAGTCCTTCTTCCCAGGGAAGGCCCAGCTACCCCCCCGCTCTTTCCAGAGCACCCTGGGCTCAAAGGAAAGGACCACACGGCCCATCTGATGCCTCCTCCCCCAGGACACTGACCAGGGTGGCCACAGGGAAGACAGAGGGGACAGGCTTCCAGGACTGAGGGACATGAGCAGGCTTTGGTTAAACTGTCCTTCAGCCAACCTCACCCACTGGGCTGAGCCCCCACGTCCCCAGCTGACAAGCTCTGAGGCCAGCAGCTCTCCCCCCCGCCCTCCCCAGGCCACGGTGGGGAAGAGACCGAGGACGAGTGGCTTCCCAAGTCAGTCCAGGAAGGGGGTGGGAGCGGTCATCCTCACAAGCAGGTCCTTCCCTGATTCTCAGCCTCTGCTGGGCCCAATAATCGACTTCACGGAATCAAGGACACAAGGAAAGAGCAGAATGCATATAAGACTGCCAGGAACTGCCGCGGGCCCGCTATCTCCATTCCCAAGCACCATCCCCAACAAAGGCAGCCCCTGGAGCCACGCTGCTGCCCCAGCCCCAGGGGCCAGGCTGCCCGTGCCCACCCCGGCCAGGGAGAAGCCCGACGGCTTCCAGCAGGGGCTTCTCTCCCTGCTCAGAAAGGTCCTCCTGGGCTTCCAGGATCTTTAAATAAACAAAGACTCAGCGCTGCATCTGGCCCCAGAACCTGTGGCTTTGGGCTGCTTCCTGGAGACAGCCGTGGGGCCTGCCTCGTGGGGCAGCCGTTCAGCCTCGCCCACGTGACTCGAAATTGCTTCCATCTGTCTGTGGGTCTGGGAGCCATTTTGCCCAGACCGGGGCCAGCCCCCACCCCTCGGCCCCCTCACTGGCAGTGCGCAGGGGGAGGGTGCCCCCTGAACTCTCCCGCTGCTGCGAGGAAGGGTCCTCCCGGGCTCCAGCTGGCCCCCTCCACAGGCACCAACGTCCACTGCAGAAATTCAAACCAAGCCAAACATCCTGCCCACCAGGGTCCTGCTGGAGAACTGATAATAAGAGCAAGAAAGAGCCCCAGCCTCCCTCTCTTGGGGAAGCCTCTGGCCTGCACATTCCTGCAGCCCCCTCCCCGGCAGCATCCTCCGCCAGAGGCGCCCAGGAGGGCCCCTCCCCCGCACCTGCCTGGCTAGCAGGGCGCCGGGGAGGCAGGAAACGCTGGCCCTCGGACACTCCAGGAACGGCACCCTCGCTCTTGGGGTGCTGGAGCAGGCTGGACGGGGGGGGGCAGAGTCCACCCACCCATGGCCTGTGCTCACCACCACTCTGGACCCACCTGGTACAACACCAGGCAACGCGGAGCCACGACTTAGAAGGGGGGAAGTCTGCCATCCTAACCAGCGTCGAGTGCAACTAACCTCAACAAGACCCTGTGTCCATGACACAACGGCTCCCCGCTCCCGCAGCCCCTGGACCCCCACCCCTCTCTCTGTCTCTACGAATGTGACAGCTCTGCGGAGCCTGGGGAAGTGGAAATCGCACAGTACTTTGTGTCATGTGTCACTGCACAACACCCTCAATGTGCACCCACGCTGCAGCACATGCAGAAATCCCCTTCCTTTCTGAGGCCACATGATGTTCCTCATATGTACAGACCGCATTCCATGTGGCCATCAGAGCTGCCACTGGGCACCACGCTGTGGCATACGGCTCTTGGGCACGCTGCTCGGACTCTCCTGGGTCCGTGCCCGGCCGGCAGTGGGGTAGAGCTGCTGGCTCCCACGGCGGCTCTATTTTTAATTTTTGAGGCTCTGCCACAGTGTGTTCACACGTGACTTCCAGCCCTGCAAATGGCAGGTCCGACAAGGAACTGCTTTTTAATTTAACTAATTTAAATAGCTACATGCCTCTCATGACAACTAGTGGCCAGCGCCAAATCCTAGCCCAGCCCCCTTTTACAAACTGGGGAGGCGTGCCCCACCCCCCAAACACCACTGGAAATGGTCAGACCAAAGAGGCCTGGACTGACTCTCACCCTGAAAGCTCACATTCCCTCCGTGATGCACGTTGGATACCCAGTCCCCAAACAGACCGCGACCCTATGCCTGGGGAGCAGGCTGCACGTTTCCCAATACCCGTCATCTCCAAGCTCCTGGAAGCCCAAGGCTGTGGCTCATTCAGGGGTATCCTCCACCCCCAGTCCAGAGAGGAGCACAAAGCAACTACCCAAGAAACATCTAGCCCAGCACCGTGACACACGCCTGTGATCCCAGCAACTCTGGAGGCTGAGACAGAGGATCACAAGTTTGAGGCCAGCCTCAGCAACTTAGCAAGACCCTGTTTCAAAGTAAAAATAAAAGGGCTGGGGTGCGGCTCAGTGGGTGAGCGTCCCTCCATGGACCAATGAAATGTGGCAAATCCCTGCAATGGATCCTCACCAGCCACAGAGAGGAAGAAAGCACTGGCCGGTGCCACACCTGGGTGAGCCCCGGAAACACCACTCTTGGTGGAAACAACCAAGCTGCGTGGCTCGTGCCTCCATGCAGACGAATCGTCCCCCACGGGTGACTCGAGAGACGGAAAGCAGATTCACGTCGCCAGCGGCTGGGGGGAGGGAGGTACTTACTGAGTCTGGAATATGAGGTGAGAAAATTCTAGAAGTAGATAGAGGTGATGGCTGCACGAGGCTGAGAATAAACGCCTGGCACCTGCACCTGAGGGGTGGTGGAGGGGCAGGAGGCATCTCTAGTGGAGCTGGACCACACCAGCCAGCTGACGGGGCAGAGGACAGCTGAGGCTCACGTGCCGACACTCGGGCCCGACGTGTTGCCAAGCCCCGTCCCGGCAAGCAGCCTGTCACCTCCCAGCAAGGGCGTCTCGGGTGGTGACCAGCCAGAGGAGCCGGTGCAGACTTTGACAGGGTCTCTCTGCTCTCAGGCCCACCTGCCGCTGCCTCCCTCCCCGGGCACCTGCTGCTCGGTCTTTTCCCCAGAGTCTTGAAGAGAAGGGCGGCTGCCATCAGTGGAGCCCAGGCCAGTCCCACCTGCCCCCCACCCCAGCGCCCACCAAGGACGGCAGAATCGAGTCACCCCGGTAGTGGGGAGGGCTGTGGGCCACACGCCTGGCAGAGGTGCCCAGGGGCAGGAAACTCAAGGCCTTCGGGGGTCTCGCACCTCATGCCAGCAGGCTGGCAGGCCAGACCTGGGAACCAGCACCAGGGGCCGCCCTCCCGCCCCTGCTGCTCTGGCTGCTCTGAATCCCAAGGGAGTCCACACAAGCCTCCTGTCCACACAGCCCCAGGGGCCAAACGCAGAGGCAGCTCTGTCGGGCAATGGCCTCGGCTCCAAGAAACATCTAGAAGCTGCAGGGTGACAACCAGGGTGACGCCTTTGCCCTGTCTCACGCCCAGGCATGCAACCCCTGCAAACCCGGGAGTCTCCCCCCAGACATCCCCCCACACCGTGCTCAATAACTGCCCGCGGAGGGCAGCAGAACACAAAGCCAGCCTGCCCCGGACACCTGCAGGGCCCACCAAATGTCAGGGCAGTGGGGACACTGCACCCAGGGACAGCCTCTCACTCACCTGCCAGGCCTCCAGCAGGCTGGCCCTCTCTGTCAGCAGCGGGGCACACAGGAGAGGCCACCGCCTCCCGGAGCTCACCCCCAGGGACTGTGGGCAAGGCTGCTAGGGACATCGTCCTGCCTGCAGCTGCCTGGCCTGCAGTGAGCCCCGTGGAGCACCAGACTGCAGAAAGAATGTCACACCCCATAAACATGAGATGACCCCGGTCCCCTGCAGAGGGACTTCTTAAAGGTGGCCGTGACCTGGGCACAGGAATGGTGACCAGAGCTGCTGCTCCCTCTTCTCTCACCTCCCCGGTGCCTGCCAAGTCCCCAGGTCCAGGCTCAGCCGTGGGCATCTCCCCACACCCCTGCGCCCTCACTCCTGTTCTTCCTGAGCTTGGGGGTCGGCACCAGCACCCTGGGAGTGGGCGCTTATCTATCCCCTCACAGACAGGACACTGAGGCTGATGAGGCTTTGTCACTGCCTGGGGCTGCACGGATAGTGGGGAGCAGAGCCAGGATCGGAAGGGGCAAGCAGCCCCGCAGGCCAGGTCCTTGGGTGGGGAGGAAGGACTGAAGTAGCCCTCCCTGTGTCTCAGTGGGGTGGTCCAGGGGCCCGGGGCTCTGTACTGTGGCCACAGGCTCTGGGCCTCGCGCAGGCTGGGCCCAGCAGCACAGGGCTGCCAGGAGACCCTGCCCACC